AATAATTAACCTTGGGATTGCTTTGTTCCAAATTCTTTTGAAAGTTGTACCTTTTGATCCTATAATTCATGTTCCTCTACCCCACTAATCCACGTGACTTAGTTGCCACCTAACCTTCCATATTTCTCCTCGACTACCCTACACCAGGTGCTTACTTTCCAACCGGGCGGTTAGCGTTTCCCCTCACAATTTTTTTTCTTAACCAGTTAAATTATTTAATTATGCTACATGCACCTCTATTTGTAACTCCATCCCATTTTGATTTATTAATCTATATCCCAACATATTGGTATTCACTATGAAAGTCCTTACTTACCAACTCTTAGGTGTCTTCCTCTCTTTTTCTTTTTCTACCATCGTCAAGCGTGGGCGCATTACAAGTTCGTTGTAAGTATATATTCCGATTTTTTAAAATGAAAATCAACAATATCATTGTATTTATCATAAATTGTTTATGTAGGTGAAGGAAGTTCCATATACGAGATTATGCAGCACGAAGAACATACTTACTGTAAATGGCCAATTTCCGGGACCCACTTTATATGTTCACAAAGGAGATACTATCATTGTTGATGTTTACAATAGAGGAAAATATAACATCACCGTTCATTGGTATTATCTCAAACCATTTAATCACTTCATTAATGTAGAAGGAGATTGTTGTTACTCATGATGGTGGTGGCATTTTTGGCAGGCATGGAGTGACACAGCCAAGAAATCCATGGACGGATGGTCCAGAATACATCACACAATGTCCTATTCAACCGGGAGCAAAAGTTAGACGAAAAATAATTTTGACAACGGAAAAAGGGACTTTGTGGTGGCATGCTCATGGTGATTGGACACGAGCGACTGTATACGGTGCTATGATCATATAACCCGAGTTGGGAACAACCTATCCCTTCCCCAAAAACCTGATGCAGAAATTCCCATCATATTAGGTATTTAAAAAACAATTATAAATCATGAAAAAAAAATAAAAACAAATTTAATTGATTGAATAAAGATTTGGAATGCTTGGGATTACTGGAAATGCAGGAGATTGGTGGAAACAAGATATAAAGAAGGTATATATTGGATGAACTCTCGGGATATTTGTGACCACAATGAAAGTAACAATTGTGTCAAAATATTTTTGTCACAT